TGTTTTAAATTTTACATGTCAACAATAAATCAACCAAGTTTTAACCCTCATTGCTTTGTCAAAATAGTATAAACGTCTTCCAAATGTATGCCTTCTAGTGCCTTTACATAAACATTTAGTTATCTTCGTTTTTACAAAGATAAACAGAGACGGAGAATAAGTTTTTAATTGTAGTTGTGTCCAGTATCAAGGTGTGAGTGTGTGGCAAATAAGGTTAGAAGTAAATTGCACCTCTAAAACATTATTCACTGAGTTTCCTTCCCCTCTTTTATTACGGCTTATAGATCAATGTCTCAATGTAATACAATTGATTCCTGCGTGCTTAGATATTTGTTAGGGCTGTCAAAAAATATGAAGTAAAAATCAAGTCTTGAAAATTAATTTTAACCGCCTAAATACGGTGAATTTATAATGTAATTTTTAATCTATATTTGAAAATATTTTTTTAATTTCATTTCGCTGTTTAATTGTTGAATTAGCGGTTCGTTCATAATTGTTGTGGCCCTAAATCTACACTAGAGAGACTAAGGACCATTTAATGACCCTGAATGTGATGGCAATTGTCAATTTTCAGGAAATATGTTATTACTAAAGAGTGTTGGCATCAGTTTTAAATTAGAATTTTATTTGTTTAAAATATTAAACATTGAAATGTTTTAAAGAACATTGTTTTATATTGTTGTAAAAACATGACCATATAAATTCCTTTATACAATTCCGGATCGTGTCCTTTGGGTGTTTTCAATCAGGAACCCTTCGATTCGCTTAACACAATACAAGTGCCTTACGTTCCCATCTACCTGATTCTACCTATAATTAGGGTTGACAATAAATTGTTTCTAGTAAATTATTTTTCTTTTAGTAAATTTAATTTCATTGAAACCTCTATGAAATTATAGTCGAAAAATCACCGCATTAGCGATGGGTAGGTTGCGTAAATAAACAAAAAAAAATGTATTTTAGAATAAATACGAGTTTTGTCTACAATATTTCAGCTTACGAATTATGAAAACGCAATTTACGGTACCGCGAATAAGGAGATTTTGACAAAACTTACTAAAACACATTAGTCATACTTCTTACTAATATTATAAATGCATATGTTTAGATGGATGTTTGTTTGAAAGTATCTCTAGAACGGCTCTATGGATCTCGCTGAAATTTGGCATAGATGTAGAGATATAGAGTATAGTCTTAAAGAACTCATAGGATACTTATGAAGTTTTTTTTTATTTCCGCGCGGAAGGTATCGCGTGCGACAGCTAGTATATTAATAAATACATTCCAATGAACATATATTCCTATCGTTTCGGTATATCAAATATAATGAGGTGATAAAGCTTTACATATTATGTAACACGTCCCGCAAACTTCGTCTTACTGACGACGTGATTCGCATAACTATTTATACAATATATAAAGGCTTTTATGTATAATACATGTTCTAAATTAATTTACATAACATATTTGTTTTAGATAGAAATATATAATACATAGAACTCAAATAATCTAAATATATTTTGTTTTAAACGTATTGTTACTAAGACACCTAATATTATAAATGCTTATGGAAGTTTGTGACTACGTAAGTCTAAAACGACTTTACGGATCTAAATGTATAATTTGGATCAAAGATTACAGCATGATTACTCCGTTTTTTTTTTTTATTTTACAAACCCGAAGTCATTGATAGCTTGTTTAATATTAATTTGAAACAAACCTATAAAAGGCTTAAAAAAATTTACAAGTCAATTAAATCATTCTCGTTTGTAATCTGACATTTATCTTAACGACGCAAACTTTGTCGTTTAACTTGAATACAATTTGTAACACATACGTTACGTAACTTGAATCACAACTTGTGTTTACTTAGCCGCTTAAGTAAACATTCTCGTGACAAAACCGAGTGGCGAATGAACGATTTACTAATTACATACAACCTATTTCTGTGTTTCTGTTTAATATTTTCAAAGGATTACGTTTGACATGTATTTCAAAGGATTATCCTAGATAAATCGTCAACTATGTAAATGTTACTTGACTTAGAATTAAGGAATTTTGTTGTAGTAAGGAATGTGTTATGTCTAAGTAAAATATAAGAGAAATTATTGTATTCTACAATTTAGAGTGTCGATGGCTCATAGGTTAAGCATTTGAAATGTAATCTAAAAGTCCTGGGTTCTAATTCCTGCATATATTATGTTTTTTGATTTATTTACATCTTTATGTACATTAACCGAGGTTGATGCAACCTGCACATATCAGCAAAAATAAATTCAAACGCTGCTCGCCACTCGTCATGTTCCGTGAATGGCGAAAAGTGGATTGCGGGGTTTTGTTTCGCCAAATGAAGCTCCGTGGTTTCTGTCTATCAGGGTTTTCCATAAAATTACCTTAACACATTAACAAGGTCAATTCTAAAACATATTGTTAGGAAGAAAATCCGAAAACGTGGCAGTATATTGACCCAAAACTAGCTTTACTAAAATGTTGACGTTTGTGTCCCCTCACTTTTCATTCTGACACTTGACTTTGTAACGACAGCACGTCATTCGCGCCAAAGGTATCTTACTAATAATGTCAAAAAATATGTTTATTTATTTCTTAATATTTCAAGGAAACTGTACTCCAAGATATCACAAACGACTATATACTACTGATCTATGTACATTTGCTTTCCTTTTTGTGAAACTCCATCAGTTCGCTTCCCGCCGCTGCCGTAGCGAAGACCTCTCGATCTCACTTAACATAATTCAAGTACATTGCATTCTTACAGAACTCGATTTAGGGCTGCGACGATTTATAGTAAGCCCTCCTGCGTAAATAAGTAACCACTTTCATTTCGTACCAATTCAATTAGAAAACAACATTAGTCAATCGATTTTAGTATTCTATTTGTTTTTTTTTATTTTAGTTTAACTTTGAAGTTTTAGCATTTTTCTTTATTTTTCGATCACAAAATATCACTCATTTATAATATTTTAGTTAAAATACTTTGTAGACAATGGCAGTCAATCTTTTATACGTATATTTTCGTACCAAATTTTATTTGTATTGGTATTTTTTATAAGTAGTGACAACCCTAAGCTTTGAAACGGCAATAGAAAAGCCGCGGCAACTTTCCGTAGAGGCCTCTAGAGGCTCACTGCGATAGTTCCGTGTCTACGAACTTACAAGTTTAGGGTTATCATACAAAGGCAATAGTAATTTTGTACCAAATAGAAACGTTAACGTAAACTTTTATTGTTATAGTTTATAATGAATATTTTGTTACAGAGATAGTAGTTTAATTTTAATTGTATGTAAGGAATCTACGCTAACGCAATAAAGAAAAGTTTAAAAATTAGTAAATTTTTATCAAGACTAATGTTGTAGTATTGTTGGTTTCACTATCGCTTAAAGAATAGCGCAAGTGTGAATAGGACAGATGCGTAAGAGACGTCCGTGTACTTGCGCAGTCAAATAACGACTGACAAAAAAGAAGGCAATCTGTTTATTATTGTAAGAGTAAACTAATATTAAGAACTCTTTGTCATTGAGTAAAGAAGATTACATATATTTGTACTTTTCTATCTATTAAACCAAAGAAAACAAGGACAACAAATTTTAAAAAGTACGTAACTGTCGACCACGACAGCGTCTATGCGAAATAAAAAAAAAATAGTAGTCTGTGGTCTAAACTATGTTCATTTGAGATTATTTCAACCATTCTGGAGATATATTCAAACAAACATCTTATCCATCGAAACATTCCCATTTAAAATACTAGTAACATAGTACTACAGGCTTTAATATTAAAACTGCTATTTGAATGACATTGAATCGTTTAGTTTCCACAAAACCATTTACTCAGTTAACTTTAAACAATCTCGATTGTTAATATTAAGTGATATTATACTGATATTAATCCATTAAGAAGCATAGCTTACTGTCTCAGCTATTGCTACGTGCGATGTAATTACAAATCCACCGTACGTCATTTGTCTTCTTAATCCTTCGAATAACAAATTACACGACGACATCCCACTCGATAAATCCACATCAAATATGCTAGGTGTATACAAAGTGAGTTTTCGCTGCATAACATCTGTTAAAATGCCCTGTTTTTTAGTAAGTTTATTTTTTATTATACAAAAACTTTACTTAACAAATATATCGATTAGAAAGCAGTACTTAAAACCCACAGGATTTAAGTGTACTTACTGTTCACTAAGTGATAATCATTGTTTTAGATTTTCTTAAAAAAATAGCTTTCTCTTCGGATCTGTCTATACGTATTCATACTCTGTGTAAAATAAATTTTCTTCCGGTTATTTCTCTGTGCGGGAGCGTCGGTGGCTCAGTGGTCAAGCACTCGACTTGCAATCTGCAGGTCCTGGGTTCGAATCCCGCCATGTACCAATGTGTTTTTCGATTTCCTATTTACATAAGTACATTTATCCGACGTTCTTACGGTGAAGGAAAACATTGTGATGCAACCTGCACATATCTGAGAAGAAATTCAAAGATATGTGTGAAGTCAACCAACTCGCACTTGGCCAGCGTGGTTGACTATGGCCTAATCACCCTTAACTTAGGGTAGGCTCCGAGCCCCTCGGTGGGGACGTATAGTGAGCTGATGATGATGATTTCTCTGTGGTGATTGCGTAAAATTATGCGTAATGCAAGAGTTAAACCAAAAAATGTATTCCTTGATATTGACCATTCCAAAATCTGATTTACTTTTAATTAATTTCAAAAGGGTACGTTTGCATAGGTCCGTTCCTGGCTGACTGATTTTGATTTTTTTTAAGGTAAAAAGTAGTAGTAGTAAGTAGTACTCGTCATATTTTTTCCCATTTTGAATTCAAAACTTACAAGTAATGTATTTTATCCTCAGAATCAAACAGATTTATTTTTGTATATATTACAAGTTGAAAAGACTTTTGTTCTTCAAAATACAGAGCACGCCATCTAGTGGTTATAAATGTACTAGTATTAACACTAACGGTTTATTCCAGACATAAAAATCTCAACGCCTCGTTTCTCCGGCACATCGTGGGTGGCGCTGCACGCGCTGCGAGGCGCGTACAAACGCGTGCGATTACGTTTACGCGTGCGGCCTGAGCGCGCGCGCGGAATACTACTTCTCACCGGCGAACATGACGACCTCTCGGGGGACTATTTGGCACTACTACTAAGAAACGGACATTTGGAATTAAGGTAACTATGTTAATAATACATCCATATCGTCTTATTCACTCCCTTCTTGCATAGAATCCATCCATACTTTCTTTGATCTTCTATCTTTGTAATGGTAGGAACAAAATCCGACACTGTGCTGGTGTACTGGCGCAACACTAGCCTTACTAAAATATCGACGTTTATGTCCCCACACTAATTATTCTGACACTTGACTTTGTAATGAAAGCGCGCCATTCGCGCCAAAGGATTGTGATTAATAATGTCTAAAAGTACACACACATCAAATCTTATTACTTTCTTGTTTATGTTTTCATCTTTCCTTAAAATTATGTCCAAAATGAGTTAATCTCTTACTTATCATGTTCCGCATATGTCGAAAGCACCTTACTTACGTTCTTTGAAATTTTAAATTATCCTCTCTCTCTCTCTCTCTCTCTCCCTAGCTTGTATCCCACAAGGTGGTGGGGTCAACTTTCCCAATCCGTCTCTTCCACCTCGCTCTTGACATTTTAAATTAACCGTAGTACGATAATTATCATCCGATATTAAAAAGAGTTCTTTCATTTACGTGACATTATTTGCGATGTCAATTTTTATTAACAAATAATAAAATAAATATAAAGTCCTGACTTGAGAGCTGACTTGAGAGTACTCCGCATTCCGTGCTTGCTTCCCTTTGTGTAATGCAATTTGCGAGACAGCCTGCAGACAAATCTTTGCTTTTCTTTTTAATATGTTCTTACGACGGCGTTTAGTATTGAAGAGAGGACAAACTTTACAATGATTAAAAAAGAAACCGACGTATTATTATGAAATAAAAACTATTTAATAGCAATTCGTTAAAATATAATATTATACATGATTTTAAAGTTTGCAAAAGTATTGCGCAATTTGACTGTTGGTTAACGTAATTTTACTTAATTCGTGAAAAAAATCTATATTTAATAATGTTATTGGCGCTTTTTATTGCAATCAAGGACTCATTTGTATGACACTAGCTACCGTCCCTAGCGATTACGTGCGCGGGGAATTAAAAAAAACTTAACTAGTAGCCGATATGTTCATCTCTAGACTATGCCTCCACATTTTACATTTATGCCAAATTGCAGCGAGATCCATATAGCCGTTTTGGAGATATCTTCTAACAAACCTCCATCCATCCAAACATTCACATTTATAATATTGGTAAGATTTAACATTATATAAGGAAATAAGGTGGAATATATTATACAAAATATTTCAAACAAAATAAAACATTCCAGAGCAAAGGGAGCTCGTTTGAATTGCACAAAGCGACACTTACGCTGGCAAATAAAAGCAATCGGAGCCATCTAGTGAACGTTTATTTGTCAAAACAAACGTTATCTAACGAAACAAAACTCCATTGTTCATTTTTTTAATGTACGACAGTTTGTAATAAAGTAAAATATCAAATAACAATACGTCCTGAATTTACATTAATTACGAATTTATTTCTTTTCTATTTTATTTTGTGTCTACATTCTTACACTTTTATCTTTCCTAGTGTTTATAAATTGTTTTTTTTAAATTCATTTCTATGTTTTCAAGTTATATAAGTCTCTCATAATATATTTATAATGTAATTTTAAAGTACATTTTGGTTTAGCTTATCTTCCGCCCGCACAGCGCCTGCACTAATTAACTAGCAACAATAAGCTCCCACTGGCTTTGCAGTGATTAAATATAAGGCACATACTGTTATCTATATTCCATATAAGTGCAATTATTATTTATCCGAGAGACAAATTTTGCGTGTCTCTATGTTTTTATGTATGTCTGTTTGTATGAATGTAATTGTAAAGACCTAGAGCCTAAATGGCTGAACTAATTTTGACAAGTGATATGACATATTCGTCGTCTTCCTTCGAGTGTAATAGTATACAAAAAATTGTGAAAAAAAAGAATCCAAATCTCATTCATCATAAATTTCATTTTTAAATCTACTTTTTTTGTTATTCTCGAGTATATCCTTTTTGATCTTTTACCAGGCGCTTTGAAAGAAAAGTTCAAGGCATAAAGCATCCAAATGCTTTCAACAAAGAAATTTCTTTATAGAGACAGAATTCCTATAACTAGCCACAGCCTAATTAGTAACTTAGTACTAAATCTAGTAACCTTCTAGTATCCTCCTTGACATAATTCTATAAAGGGCTTAATATTAAATGGCTAGGAATATTTTGCAGTATTAAATCCCTCTACACTCTAGTACAAGTACTTGTCTATTGCAGAATTAATTAACTATTCGACGTAGGCTCAGCACTTAGGGTTGTCAATTGCAAGCCAACGTAAATTAAAATGTTAAATCCCGTTTATCGAATGACATCATTATCATTGTTCCTAGGTAAACTATTTAATTTTATTCTCAATTAAAACGAGAACTATATAATAAATCGATAGCTTTGCCTTGATGTTTAAAGAATGTAAATAAATTTCATTTGCCTGATTTAAAGTCTGAAATTTAAACCGTGATTTCCCTTCATTAAATTTATGTATTTTGTTTAGTAATGAAGTTCCGCACAATTTATTTAAAAAATATTTCGTGTGACAGCCCTATCTTTTACCATGCATCCTGTAATTTAACAGCATACTTGAGTTATTATGCGCAATAGAACTCTTCAATTTTAATATTAACAACAAATTTTGATATTAAAATTTAATAAAATGGAGTGTCTGTATGTAACATTGTATTTCTTCAATATTATTTATATTGGACAAAGAAATACCAATATTCTAAATTTATGTCTATCTGTCTATGTGTCTGTCTGCAAGACCGAGCTTAAGGAGTAATCTTCAAAACGACTGGACCGATTTCGGAACTTTGCCGAGAAGGTTTGATGCACGCGAACATACAGGTTACGTTTTTTAATTCTGCACTAACGAAGCGGGCGATCGCTGGTTAATTAATAAATTGTTTTGTTTTAAATTTAACATGTTTAATGGAGGATCGTATTAACGAGAACAATTTTACATTTACATTTAAAATGAACGTTAAAATCATTCAATTATAAGAACATTTAAATTGTTGTACTCGTTAAATATTCATTAACGCATCACCGGCAACGTTTAATGCAGTAAATAAATTAAGTTACGGGCAATCCTTTTAAGATTAATTTTAACGTTTACATCGTTACCTCTCTGTATTACGGGCTTGAGTAGTGTTATTACATCGATGTAATATTACAGATTTGACTGCGGCAGCGGCGCTGGAATCCTTCGCTCACCGGAGCCAATACGTCTGGGAAGATGGAACACGGTGTCCGTGTACCGGCATCGCTGGGACGCCTGGCTTAGACTAAATAACGGCAAACGAGTCCGTGGACGATCTAAGGTTAGCTTAAACTTAAGGATAGATTAAGCTAAGGTTAGTTATAGCAATTATTAGATATTGTAAACAGTCGAAGACGTGACATTTCGATGAGTCGCTTTACGTACAGAATGCAATCAGCCTCCTTAATAAAGTGCATTCGTTTCGAAATTCAAAAGTGGAAGTTCAAGAACTTACAATAATATTTGATAAGTCACGTAATTGTCACGTCAATTCCATTTTTTATTGAACTTCGTTATGGAAAAGCTTCGGAGCGAATGCACTTTGTCTATGGAGGCAGATCGAAAACTTGACATAGCATATGTCAAAACATGATCGATCGTGAATATGAAGCGAATTTAATTCCTTTGCTGTACGACCAATGTTATTATCATCAAGGAAAATATCGTGATAAAATCTCCATAAATCTGTAAAGAAATTGATAATCAAGCAAGCCGTTCTAGGCCAGCATGATTGTTTAAGACCTAGTCTCCGTAGATTAGAGTAGGCTCTAGCTCTTTGGGAATAATATCAATGCTATAAAAAGCTATAAAAGTTGTATAAAATTTTATGTATAAGAATAAAATTAAACAAAAATTCTACGTCACTTTTTCGTTCGCGTCGTCAAAGTTTTCACCTGTAATATTACCGCTTCCCTCGTGAATTATACATTTCCTTGCCTAATTAAATTTTAATTGGCCCCCGATCCTTGCCGTTTCAAAACGTTTCACAAATTACGTTATACGTTCGCACAATTACAAAAGATGAGATGTTTTCTTTGTGTATTTTACTTGGATTTACATTTATTAATCTTACTCTCATTATAAAGTAGCTGTCGCCCGAGACTCCTTCCGCGTGGATATATAAAAAAACTTTTTTAGCCTATGTGTTCTTTTAGAACACAGTGTTCTATACGTATGCCAAATTTAATCGAGATCCGTTCAGCCGTTCTAGAGATATCTTCAAACACTCGTCCATCTAAACATTCGCATTTATAATATTAGTAAGTTAAATAAAAAGCAGCTCTTCAAGGCATAAATTCTAAAAAAAAAAGAATAAATAGTATCCTATGTCCGCCTCCTGGCTCTAAGCTACCTTCTCACCAATTTTCAGCCATATCGGTAAAGCCGTTCTTGAGTTATAAATAGTGTAACTAACACGACTTTCTTTTATATATAGATAAGATGCGAATATTTGGATGGATGTTTGTTAGAAGGTATCTCCAGAACGGCTGCACGGATCTCGCTGAAATTTGATGTAGAACATAGTGTGGAAGAACACATAATTACGTTCTTTTTTAATTCCACGCCGATGGAGTCAGTCTTAGGTTATCGAGTTAAAAGATTAAAAAAAAGCAAAAAACAGAAATCATTGGTATAAATGTATACGAACATTTCAAGTACATTTATATTTTTTCTACCAAAAAAATCCATCCAAATTATTTGAAGTGATCCTTAATAAAATAAAAAGAATAAAAGGAAAGGCGTGAAAATATACCTTTTTGTGTAATTCCCAAAGAAAACCAGTTTTGTTTTACGTTTAAGTGAGGCTCGTTCATTAAAGGAGTTACGTCTAAAAGGGTAACTAATGAGCCGTTTTTAACTACGGCACAAGACAAAGGCTGTAGCGGAAGCGAGAGCGATTTCAATACTAAACCTCTTGTTTACGATGACAATGAAATTTTAACGTGAAAAATTACCTATTTAATTATGACAAAATTAGCTGTCGCCCTTGACCCCGTCTGCACGGAATTAAAAAAAGACTTAATTAGTAGCCTATATGTTCTTCCGTACTATGTTCTACATCTATACCAAATTTCAGCGAGATCTGTTGAGCCGTTCTGAAGATACCTCCAAATATTCCCATCTATAATAAATATTAGTAAGATTGCAATTGACATTAAACAAATGATATTAAAATAATTTTATCAAAGTTAAGGAAAAGAAAATGCGACTTACAATCTTTACTAAACAGCACTATTTCTTCACAAAGGAATAAACCAACATTTCTTGGCCTCTCCTTTCTGTTACTTCCATCAAAATTGTCTAATGGAAATTGAACTGTATTTTATGTTCTTAGGGTCTATTCTCCCGGATGACGTTCCGTGAACCAGTATGGGTCGGCGGCGCTGGCAACACAACTGGGCTTCAGAACAAACTGAGTCTTTCAGAAGGTCTGCTCGGCTGTGTAGACTTTCTGAGAATAAATGGCGACACATACAGATTAATGAAAGACGCAATCTCCACACAAGATATTGGTGAGTAACTACACTAACGCGACACTTAACCATGGTTTCTGAGACCAAAATATCTGTATAAAACATATTGTCATCCCTGTCATTGTCTGACAAAATAGAGAACAATATGCTTTAAACGGGGATATTGGTCTCAGAAACTCACTGCTTGACATTAAGTCACTAACCGTGGGTTCCCGAGACCTAAATTTCTATGTAAAACATATTACATACAATCATAAATAAAAATTCATCTTAGCAATTATTCTGTTTACCATATTTTTTTTTCGACATTGATTTAAAAAACGTAGGAAATTCATACGATTAGTTTTATGAAGTTAAAAAGAAGTAATTAAAAATAACATACGCTTTTTATTACTTAATAAAATTTAATTTGAACTTCTTATGAAAATTATACTTCTAGATATTTTTTATTACAAAATTTAACGTAACATTTCTCTTAAAAGCTGTACTTAAAATAAAGTTACAAAATTATTTTCACACCATAAAACCTTCATTTAGTGGGACTAAAGTTATATATAGCTTAGGCCAATTTTTGATAATATGATATACAAAATTCATAGTCTAATAAGATAGCAAATGGTCCGGTCGGTCATTGCCTTAACGATGGGTCTTTTACGAAAAATTGCGCGACTCAACCAAAACCGCGCGGGTGGTCCAATTTATAAGCGAAGCGATATTTATATAAACTACATAGCGTGGATGTAAATTCGTCTGTCTATTACATGTTAAAGAATAAACGACTAACCATTTTTTTCTGAGACTAACATCTCTGTATAAACATCGTCATCCCTATCTTTCATCTCTGACAAAACAGAGATAACAATATGAGAGATGGCAATTGTTGTCTTGGAAACTCACGGGTAAAAGATTATGATATAATTTGAGTAAAACTGGTAAAACTTCGAGATAAAATCTTGTACTACACAGTGTGCGTGTAGATAGAATAATGTTTGGAAGACGTCAAAGGAATTAATTGGAATGAAAGTGACACAACAATTCATTATGCAATTATTTTAAAACCACATACGTGCTGTCAATCCAAACGACGTTTCACAAATTTATATCTCTATTTAAATTTATTGACCTTTCCATCTGGGTGTTAGATTTACAATCAGCTAGTTCTAACAGAAAAATAGTGTTAGAATTTCCAATACTTACGTCTAACGTAGACGTAAGTATTTTCTAGCACAAAGCGTCTAAAACGATTCCAATCATTTTATAGAGAACTTGTGAAGCTTGCGATTGAGTTTAAAACGTTCCATTTTATTCTACGAACACTTTCGACTTGTACGTCAAAATTTACGCGAGAAATGTATTTTTTAATATTTTAAAATTTCTTGCTATACTATATCAAATGTTTAAATTACTTGATTGGCTAGCAAATATTATATGCTTTTAGATTTATTTCCATATTCAATGATTTGAGTAAACATGTTATACCATTTTCCATTTCATTTGAAATGCACACAAACCATTTCAATTTCCATTTGTAAATAAAATCATTAATCAAATAGTCTAATATCAAGCACCTAACAGTATGTGCTGAAATTCAACATAAATATATTTATATAATTATTTATGAATAGGAAATTATTAAATAACTTTTATGGTCGTGTAGAGGCGAGGTAAATAAAACAACCCTAAGCACCTGAGACGGTACTAAAGGCGGGCAGCAACTCTCTCTAAATTAAGATTTACAGCCCACGTTAGCGAGTAATAAGTTTTTTAACCTTCGTCTAAGCAGCATTTCATAGCAATGGAATTTTAATACATATACTTGCTCATTAAAATGCCACCTAATTTCCTAATAAAGTCTTGTATGTAGTAGTGACTTGACGAATAACCATAGCAATTAAAAAAATCAAATCGACTGATGTCAAGCTCAATGAATGATACTTCTGCATTCGAAATTGGTTAAGCCGTTCATCTAATCTACGCGTTTAATCGAAAAACTTATATCAAATACCATAATACTAACACTTCAAATGACACCCTTATCAGCTCAACAAATATATCTCATATTTTTTGGTTTATTTGATTTTTGTTGAATCAAAAAGAAATAATATTATTTATGCACAAATTGATGCATTTTAAGTTAATACCAAGCGCAATGAATCAAACGTTCAGTCCAGACATCTTTGCAGTAAATCAACGAAAAACTTTAGCTTCATTCGGATTCAGAACGTTGCATTCGGCAAACAATGTGACGGGCGCCATGTTTGCGCGGGAAATGCATTGTCAAACGACGAGGCGTGGCAATCGAGGGCGACGACATTTAAAAAAATTGCATTCTATCAACAAACCCTATTTTCCAATTCTATGCGTTTGTATGCGAGGACTTTTTACAATTATAGCGAATAAAATGCTGTCCCATAATAATTCTTACAAGCTAAACAAATTAATAAAAACAGAACGGAGAGATTTGTAATTTATGGCTGCATGACAAGTAACAATGTTGTATCCATTTAAATATTTGTTAAATTGCTAGAAGCTTTTATTTCTTTAGAATTTCCAAACAATCTATGAGGAGGAACCGATAACAGCCAAGTAAGGATAATTCATGTCTCAAAGGAGGCATTACCCGTATTAAATCTCAAAGAGTAAACGTGTTCCGAAGTAGTTTCAGCCCCTCCGAAAAAATTTTCTTACATTTGTAAAAAATCTTATTCCATAGTACCTCTTTCATTGTTGCATTTAAAACCTCCGTGGTGATTGACCAGAAGATTCAAAAGTAAAACGGTTTTAAAACCGTAGAACATTTTGAAAACTCTTATAACGATCCGTTTGATGTTGCCAACATGAAGAATATAACACAATGAGAGAAGTAGCGCAATAAACGCGCTCAAAGCACTGAATATTCCAGCGTTGTGTTCTCTGAATCACACAAAAGTAAACTGAAAGCGACACATTTCTGGAATATAATATCACCGTGAAGTATTTTACAATTTACAATATTTAACTGTTAATATAAATGTATATTTTATGAACGAAGTTTTATACCCTTTAAGTAAGTTTTAAATTTTTAGTCCAATCGATTTTGAACACTGTCATTTGATTCTTTTCCTTGAGGATGTGATAGATGATATTGAAGGCTTATTGTTCTTTTTGTTGATTACTAGCTGTCGCCCGCAACACCGTCAGCGGGGAAATTAAAAAAAACTGGTGGTGGTGTTCTTCCAGACTATGTTCTACATCTATGCCAAATTTCAACGAGATCCATACAGCCGTTCTGGAGACACATTCAAACAAACATCCTTCCATTCATCTGAACTTTCACATTTATAATATTAGTAAGATTATAGTCTCCTTTTGTGATGAATTATTTAACATTGTCTGATAACTAGTTCATTCCTTATAGAGTAACAAATGACCACTAATTCCGACGCTTCTACAATCTTGTGACGTATTCCGCTCACGTTTTCAACAAATGAAGAGAAATGTGAGAATTTCTGCGTGGTCTAACTGATGATAGTGTTTCATAAGTAAATCTCTGCGAATTATAATTATTATTCACCTTAGTTGATTATATAGAGTAAAAATAATTTTGTATTTTCAATATACAAAATTAATTCAAATCATTACATTTATTACATTATACCCCCCCCCCTCCCCTTCCCCCCCCGCCTAAATATCAGTCAAGCCATTTATGAAAAAAGAACGTACACAATAGTTCTACAAATCCTTAAAAACATTACCAATCCAACTTTATCTATCCTTTATATGCTTTGACAATTTCTTTTTCATGACATTTTGTTTACAAAAAAATATGTGAATTACCAATCGTAATAAATTACTAACAAGTAACAAGTGACAAAGAGATAGTTGCATTTTTGAAATATGTAGTTTCAAGTAAATTCGCTTATAACTTGGACCATACGCAAACGTTGAAATATGTTGGTATAAATCAGATGTGGCCGAGTTAGGGAACGCCGGACGCATATATAACACTTTTGTTGTGTAAATATAAAAATTTCCATGGACAGACATATCTATATATATTCACTATGATGAATGAAAGAGACGGCTATATGTTTTTAAACCAGTAATCAGACATTAGAAACCCACGGTAATGATAGTAAGGAATAAATTAGTCCCTATCTAATGCAATAAACGAAATTAAATATCTGAACCAACATCAACTCACTATACGGCCCCACTGAGGGGCTCTGTGCCTAGCCTAAGTTACGGGTGACTAGGCCATAGTCAACCGCGCTAGCCTAGTGCGAGAAAAATACACATTGTTACACAGTGGGATTCGAACCCAGGACCTGCCAGCCACCGACAGTGGTAGAGCCCGCTTTAACATCTTCGGACGAATCGGCTCGGCTCGCCCGGTAAAATACCACGACCACAAAGAAGACAGGCGTGAAGTGGAAGCTATTCCGCGTTTCGTCTGATGAGTATGCGTCCCGGAGATCCTCTTTCCCTTCCCACCCTTTTCTCAAAGGATGGGAAGTGGAGGTGGACTTTCCGGATGAGAGGATGCATGGAAGGGGAAAATATTTTCTTTCCGTGCATCCTCTCCTCCGTCGATTAAAGGTAGGAAACGCATATGCAATTGCGTATGTCTATGGGCAACGATTACTTCGCTATTTCAGCGATTTCAAGTGGCCGCTCGCTCGTTTGCCACCTTATGATATAAAAAAAACCGACACTCCCTATATCTCAATCGTTATTTCTTCTCAACAGCGGAATGCGCACCAACTTTAGCACCTTGGAAACCGTACAAAGAAGAGACTACAAGTGAAATTGTACATCACAAGCATTCAGATAACCACGCAATATATGATATCAATGATATTGTACATTTTGAAGACAACGATATTGTTATGAGAGACGCAAAAACAACAGACGAAGAAAACAAAATGGACAACTCACTTGATATGTTCAAACATTACGATTATAAAAAAGTGAACATTCTTGATGTTGATAATGATTCGAAAGATGTTAAAGTTAACGGTGATGAAGTTAAAAATGATGAAGTAAAAGGTGAAGAGAAATGTGAATGTGAACATGGCGGTGGCTGCGTAGGTGGAGTGTGTTTATGTCCTTTAGGATACGCCGGTGTTAAATGTGAAATAACATTAGATCTAAAGGTATGTACATTTCTAGACATCATAATTTCCTATATTTTAAAATAGCTTTAACCCGAAACTCCGTCCTTGCGGACTTAAAAATAACTTAATTTGTAGCCTACACGTTCCTCCAGACTATGTTCTACATCTATGCCAAATTTCAACTAGATTTGTTGAGTCGTTCCGGAGATACCTTTAAAGAAACATCCATCCAACTATATAATCACATTTAACTCAATGTAGCTAATCTTTTTAACCTTAACCTTTTTTTAACGTTATATGTCTATCTATGTTATCTATTTGATATTTTACTATTGTATATTGCAGGTTCCTCGCTTCAATGGCTCGTCCTACCTTCGTCTGCCGAGTCTTGGTAACTCTGCGCAGTCATGGCTCGATATACAGGTATTTTATTTTGTCTTCTTTATTTTTATTCATCGTTAAAAAAAAACTTCGTACATATACCTAACTTATGTTCTAAATATAATTGTTAAACTCTTCAGTTGTAATTACTTAATTTCAAAAATGTGCATTATTTTGTCATTCGCATAAACAATCTTAGTAATTCCTGTTTCCCGTTGAGCCGATCAACCCGTACGCCGATTGGTCCAACGGGAAATAACTTTTCTATTTGATTGGCAATTAAAATAAACCGTAAAAGGGTCGTTGACCAAATTCCTTAGCAGGTTGAGGTAAATTTCCACAATTAGGTCAATCGATATAACGCCCTTTGTATGTAAATGTAGAGCTGAAAGATATGCTTACCTTTGATAACTTCATTATGGTCTTACAAATGTGTCAATGGTACACTCATAGTAACTAAGGGACTCCCTAAGTGTAGATTATTATTACTACTGATATAGCAATTAGTAATACTTTACTAAAATAAAAGATAGTATTTAATATAATTGTTTATGTTTGACACAGAGTCATTAAATGGTCACTGAGTGTGTGTTTCTGATACCAAAAACTCCCATTTAAAAAATAAATCATTAACAAAAGAAAGATAGCATTTAAATATATTATCTCTCTTGTTAAAGATAATGACAGGGATGACGATATTTATATCGAGATTTCGGTCTCAGAATTCAACGGTAAATCCCTTAGTACAGATATACTGACGTAGTTTGGAAGTTATTCAGGAAAATCTAACACTAAGCAACTAATAACTATTTAAATTAAACATAAAATGAAATTAAAATAAGGTATAGATTATTTTTCTATTACACTAATATTATAAAGAAAGAAAGATTTGTAGTTTTATATGTAACGAATAAACTTAAAATGTGCTGGACATATACATATAATATCGTTAAAAGATTGTTATCTTTGTTACTTTCAATAAGATATATAAGTAATTCAAAATTACGAGTTAATTTTCCGACAAATACGCGGAGAAACTTTGTTCCCGTTTCAAAGTTCACATCTTGGAATCGATTAAGATAGGATGAAATTAAACATATCATCATCAACCTGCCCTTATCCCTATCGAGGGTCGGCACAGTATGTACTCCTCCATACATCTCTACCAGCCGTTATATCCGAGTCTGCCCCCTTCTTACGCATATCCTCTTTCACACAGTCATTCCATACTTTTTTTTACCCTACCCTTGTAGCCATCCACATTCAATCTCATTACATTTTTGCTTTTATCATCATGAAATTAAAAATATGTTCTATTATATTTAATATGATTTGCGCTCAGAATCATCTAATATAATGAAGCAGACATTCAGTGTTGATTTGTTATACTAAATCTATACTTAGAGACAACCTTGATGATCATCTTTAATCTATTTGGTTTAAAACCGATCTAGATTGTTATAGCAATGGAAATGCTTCATCTATAAAGGATGATCGAATTTCTACACCTTTCTACGAAAAAAAATAATTAATACAATTTTTCGAGCTATGTCAAAAACGAATATAATTTACGGCAGTATATTTCTAAATTCTTGAAATTTACGTAATTCTAAACTAATTATTAATGGCTATACCAACGTATTGTCGTGCTGTCACTAGATTTAGTATGTATAGAGCTTTTCAATGTATTCGGTGGCTCAAGGTCAAGTGTGCGTTGCGCGTTCCTCTCCCCCCGCATGCGTTTACTATCCGCTACACCTAGCATTGTGTTCTGTGCAGCGACTCGATGGAACTTCCGAGCCGAGAAGATATTTGAATAACATAATACATTCATGTAATTTTTTAATTGTTGTCGTAACGTATAATATTTCTACTTCCAGATAACATTAAAGCCGACAAGTGGAGATGGTTTAGTGCTATACGACTCACAGCGGCAGAGCGGCGACGGAGATTTCTTCTCGTTGCATCTCAGAGATTATTTCGTTGAGTTTGCATTTGATCTGGGATCGGGGATAGCACTTGTCAGGTAATAATCATACTCGTATTTTAATTATGAATTACATTTTACAACGTACAAAAAGGTACGTTACAAAGAGAAGCACTAAATGAAATATTTTTGTAAGTATGATGACGAAAAGATAAAAATTATTTTCAATTTAGTTTATACATAGGATGTTTTGTTTTCCGAACTATATTTTTGTTTATTTAACTTGTTAATACTGCTTACTTAAGATTTTGATTATGACATGTTACAAAGTGTATCCATACAAATTCCAGATCAGCGTATCCATTAGAAGGCAACGCGTGGCACAAGATATCCGTCAGTCGGTCGGGACGTCGCGCGTCACTGCGCGTGCGGCCCACCGACATGACGCCGCGCCTGGTGTCGGGGCCGACAGCGCGCCAGGTGACGGACACGACGCGCTCGGTGACGTCACACGGCGCGGCGCGGCGACTGACACTGACGCAGCCGATGTTGTTGGGAGGCGCGCCGCATCCGTTGCCGCCGAGGTTGGCGCTCAAGTCATCTTTCAGTGGTTGCGTCGCACAGGTATTTTATTTCAGCTATTCTAACTAATGGTTGCTCATTATACTAAATTCTACTATAATTCATATTTTAATAAATGTAACTAATATTATAAATAGGAATATTTAGATGGATAAGTGGATATCTGTTTAAAGGTATATTGACCAGAATTGCTTAACAGATCTCGATGAAATTTGGAATATGGCAAGATGGTGCCGAGGGCAACCGCTATATAAAACTTTACACACTCCTTCTCTGCTTCTCCGCGTATTAATATGATTTTTGTTTTGTTTCCAGCTGGTAATCAACGATGAAGAGTTATCTGTGGTATCTTCAGCTCTCGGTGGAGTCAACGTCGACAACTGCGACGATCCGAAGAATAATTCTTGCTTGTAAGTTACAATGTAACTTTATTCTCTATACGAATAGCAGATATAATTTACAAAGTTTTTTTTTTTTTGGTGGCAGTAGCGTCATTAAAATTGGATGCTTGACGAACCCTTTGCTATTGATTTGGTAAGATAAATCTGAACAAACAGACTATTTAATCTAAATCATATAAAAATCTTTTCCAGAGACAAGAACCTATGCAAAGAATCAATACAACCATTCCATTATTTGAATATATCCGAAAACGAGATCCATCACTCCATAGTCGCGAAGAAAGGATTCAAATTAAAATATCACAAAGTAAAATCGAAGAAACATCATCATGCTGAGAAATACAAGAAATATTTAGCTAAAAACCAGTATATTCAGAACGATGAGCCGGTAGACAATGTACCAACAGACGGGCCTTACGATGGTCAGACGTACATGCAAGTTAAATATTTAAATGGTAACGAAATTAATTGGGGAGATACAAATTCATATCCAAGTTTCACCGGCATAGATAGTTTCATACATATTGATGATGAAGAAACTATGAAAAGGTAAGTTTACAATATATTACTAGTAATAAATAAAATATTAATTTATGTGTGTGTGATTTTGAACATCCTGTAGTTACATTAAGAATAATTGGTGACTTTTCTCCTCTTGAACATCAAAACCTGTATCTGTCTCTCTCACACTCATCCACTCCTACTCTTTCTATATCTTTCATTCTTTTAGTGTTTGTATAATGCTATCTCTTTCAGACTGGTGAGCTACAGTCTGGACATCAACGTGCGGTTCCGCGCGCAGACACCGCACGGCCTGCTCGTGTGGACTGGCCGCGCCCGCACGCGTGACCCCACTGAACCCAGTGACCCACGTGACCCACGTGACCCCAGTGACACACATCACAACGGAGACTTCCTCTCCCTAGCCATAGAGAACTCCGTGCTAGTGTTCAGGTATATTAATTAAATGACTAAATAAAAAATCAAATAATGTTTGAAATTTTAATGTAGCATATATTCAAAGAAAATATATTTAAGCCACCTCAATCTTTTAATTATTTTTACTAATATTGTTATAACATATATCCAGAACAGATAAACAGATCTCGCTGAAATTAAATAAACGCATAGGTTACTTAATTTTTTTTATTCTTCGCGAATGAAAGCTACTAATATAAAAATGTAATTTTGCAGATACGATTTGGGCAGCGGAGAAGTGGTAATTATAGCAAATCATACAAAAGTGGACGACGGCTTGTGGCACCGGGCACGCGCTACAAGGTCAGCTCTATACATTTTTTAATTGACCGCTCCTACGCATACTGTCATAACCCAAAAAAAAACGTTTTTTTCATGAAGCCATTGCATCGAGTCTCTGTTAATAACATAAAAGTGTTTCTAAGTTAAAACTGTCCATTTAATATCATATGACTTAAGCAAAATATTAAAATTTTGATTTTAAGAATATGAACATTTTTACCAATGTTTGTTCAAAAACCATAAAGTCATTATACTGTAAAAGGTGTAGAATGAATATACGTTCAAATTTCATAATGTATAAATGATTAAGAATTATTTTAAATAACTTTTTGACCAGGAACCGTCAAGCGGGTGTGCTAGAAGTGGACGGACTGGGTTCCGTCGGTAAGATATCGCCCGGGAAACTCAAACAGCTTAACACTGAGAATGGACTCTATATAGGTGAGGTTTTACCCAACACACAGGAGGGCAATGTTCTTGGCTTTAATTTTTTCATTATGATTTCACATCGACATATTTCCTTTTAAAATTAACGATTACTTTTTTAAATAAACATCTTTGTAGCACTTAATGAGCAGTGAATGCAAGAATTTGACACTAAACATCTATGAAATGTAAATAAATCAATGTTAAAACTTAACAGACAATTTACATCTTATATTTAGTATTAAAATAATTACGAACATTCATTTTTTATTTCAGGAGGGTTGCCATCAATAGAATTGAACACGATGGGAAAATATAAAAGTGGTTTAATAGGATGCGTGTCGCAAATATCATTGAGTGGAGATTTTGATATACCACTATCATTGTCAAAACTTCCTCACACAATCACAAACAACGTGGGGAGATGCGTTCCATAGTAAAAGATGATTTAAATGAACACGAGTTCATTTAAATAATCCAAAATAAGTTCATTTTATACGAGCAAAGTTCATTTATTTTATCTATGAAATGTAGAATTTGTGTGCAAATGTTAGATTGTATTTAATTTCTAAGTGCATTTAATTTTTATACGAAAAATAATTTAAATTTAAAGAGTTTTGTAACTCTAATAACATATCAAATTAACATCGGTGGCAATAACACTACAATATGTCATTTGATAAATGGTGTTGCCATAAAAATGAACTACCAATACCTAGTCAATTTAGATTATAAGTAATATTAACAGTCCTTATGTCCTTTCTGTAATTTTTACGATTTCCTTCAATATCTTTTTTTTTGTTATCTTTTTTCCATGAGAATGGATAAAGTTTTCGAAGTGCTTTACTATCTAGTAAATATGAAAAGAACTAATTGTAATGTTATACTAAAATATAGTTGTACAAGTACGTTTGCACGCGTAATCATTTCAGGCCAGGGTCGGATTAGAAAAATACAAAAAAATGTCTTATGAATGTATAAATCGTTTTATGACTCGAATTTAATTCTTACCTAAATGAATTAGTTAAAAAACAAAGACTAAAATTAAATAACACAATTATATCAAAAATTGGTCAAAGTAAAATATGTAATTGCTAACTTTTGAGAATCCTTCTGGGACGCCAATTTAATCTATTGATACTACGTTGCTGTATAAAATTATTTATATGTACTATGAAGTTCATAATCCGGCCCTGCATACTAAATTAGTTAATGGAATAGATGCAATTTGTTACAAGAGTGTTTATAAATATAATTAATGTATACTTAGCGTTTGTATATGAGAATGTTTTCATATGGACGTGGTTTAGAGTTACGTAATTAGATACTGATACAATAGTATTTGTGTATTGAATTGAGCTTTTATATTAAGGTTCAAAGTGTTGCCAGGTGAATACAAAAGTATAATTTGTTGAATTTATCTTCTAGTCTCTGTCTTAAAGAAGCTGTAAAACCGTAAAGTTTTATTTATATGTACATAATTTATGTACTAAACCGGTATATACGTATATGAAAAATAAAAAATTAAGACAAAAATATTTCAGGGAGCAGAAATGCACTTTACTTTTTACAATTTTCAAACCCTTTTTTATTCATAATCAATTTAAAGTATGTATTTACTAGAATTTAAACGCAAAAAGCTAACTTTTTAAAATTATTCTTTAAACTAAATTGCCATTTAAATCTTACAGAATCACCTGGCAACACAGGCCGTCACATTTTTATTATTTCTCTGCCGACCGCTGATTTGCATTGCTTGAAGTTTCCAACACAAACGTTTGAGCACGGCGTAGTCATTGTTATAGAGTATATTTATCCAGTAGAATAATGAAATGCTTAAAATCATGTGAAATGAGCAAAAACAACTTTAAGTTTTACCAAAGAGTACCAATCTTATCGACTTTGTAAGTTTTTTTGAAAAATTCTCCAAATTATTCCAATTCCCTATTAGATTTATTCTAAAATTCTTTTATATTGCTGTATATAAACAAAAAAAAAAGTATTTTCTTTACAAATTGTCGTGATAACAATTTAATACTCGTAAATATTTTTTTCCTTTTTTGTTTTTCGTCCTATGCTTTAATAATATCATATTTGAATCTTCTCATACTTTGAATAAAAAATTGGACCAAGGTCGATATTTTACTTTTTACTTCAAAATTAAATTGTTTATATTTAATTTTTTACTATCTTTTTAAATACTATCGTTCTAATCGTTTTACAAATAGCTTCGTATTTGAATAGCCTACAGCTTCCCTATTTATTACAATACAGCCCATGTATGTAATATTATTAAATGGGTACCTACGCATAACGTTGTAACTTTTTTTAAACAAAATTATATGATATTCGACCTTTTCTATCTTTAATAGAATATCTTATCGAAATACATTGCTAAATTGGTCTTTTTGAAAAATTGAATTTTTTGAGTTACGACGCTACGCGTAGGAGCCTTTTGTCTAAGTATGAATCCCTTCCATTGGGTTTTCATTTACAATTCCACACCAATCATTTCTGTCAATTAAATGTTTCACAGGGTTTTAAATTATTTATTATAATTATAATAAAACATATCTATAATGATTTTTTTCTACAAAATATTTCTTAACACAATTTATAAATTTACATTTTGTCAATGCCTATCGATCATTTGACCTTTGTGTTGCCATACTGTTATTTAACAAAATAACCTAGAAAATGTTATATACAAAAAAATGCTTTTGTATATTAATTTAAGTTGACTATATTAATTATAACAAGGTAATAATTTGCATTTAAACCTTTTCCTGTAATTTTAAGCACCTTTTTTACTTTTCATTGATTACGGCGTTAAAAAAATATAAGCTCTCAAATTACAAAACAGACGACAAAAACAACGATTTGTATAATGAACCAATTTACTATATCCGTAGCTACATTATATGTATTTTATTTACTTGATTTTGACTCAGCAAATATATTTATATACATAGGAAGGCTCTTACAAACAATATCTTGTTATTATATCTTATTCTTTTTCTAATCAGAGTTTTTCGACTGCCAAATTGTATAATAATATTTGCGTGTTTTAGCCGTGATAAAAAATAGCTACTAAACTTATAAACAATGATATGTAATTAACCTAAGATTAATTTTATAATGCAAAGAATGTGATATTTTATATTTGCCTGAATTTTCTATAGTTCGTGTTGCCTTTAGATGTAAAATTACATTTACGACGGTTTTGTAAAAACAATTCTCTTTCACTTTGCAAGAAAAAAAGATAAGATTTTCTTTGTAGAGGTTAGTCGGCAGTTGCCTTTAAATATGTGTCTGAACTGCTTTTTGCTTTTTTCAACAATAGGTTTGCATTTTGCCTAGTCATATACGACTTTGTTTTATAATAAGAGCCTTTCTATATAAAAGTTATAGATTTTTTTCATTAAATATACTTACATAGATCTACAAATAGCTTGATCTAGCGTTAGTTTTGTATGTGAAACCTGTCCGATGTATTATACGCCGTTATTTGTACAAAATTATAACAATAAAAAAAAATAATGCATTTTATTATTAAAACCTTTGTAAAATCGTATAAAAGATAACGTTGTCTCTGTTTTTTTAAGCATGTATGTATTTTAGATTTCACTGTATTATTTTGCCAGCAATCTCCAATTGTATGAGTTAATAACTTCAGGCAAAAAGCGAAAACACTTAAAACGATTACTTGTGTCAAAAGCGCCTTTCCATTGTGTTGTTGCAATTTTACGAAACGTTATAATCATAGGAGCTACAAATTGAAAATATTTAAATGACGTTCTTTAAGAAATTAAAAGGAGGAGGTAAAGTTTACATTATTATTCTATTTTATTATTAATAAGTTATAAACATTTATTAAATTCAATGAGTCACAAGATAATTAATATTGTAAATAAAAATGTCCGGCGTACTTCCCGCGTAAAACCCCTCAGAGACCGCAATATTTGTCACACTATGACTTCATGTTGCCATTTAAGAAAATTATATATTACAATAATTAATGCTAAATTTTAGCTATTTTCAAGAGTTTTAAAGTTAAACCTTTGATAAACATAATTGAACAATTTCTATCCTTAATTTTTTCTACGTATTCATCAAATTTTCGCATGTGCTATACAAATGTCTTGCAATTATTATGAAAACATCGACACATAAATTCTCTTGCTCACAGGAAATTTCTGCATAATGGCAACTCACGAACAATCTGGAATTTATTTTTAAGACGGGCGTCATTTTCTCTCTGCTACGTCACAGCTTTAAAGAGACAAAGCTTTTCTATTATTTTTTGGGAAAACAAGCATTTTATCCAAATCATCATCCACCTTAATGGATACATGGTTGATTTGTTTTGGTATTAATATATTAAAATTGTGTTTCATAAAATAATAAAAACCTTTTGCATAAAAAATAAAAATATCGCGGTTTCATTCACAATAATCTTTATTACTGAAATTTGGTTATAAAAGTATATTTTTTAAAATAAAATTTATTAAAAAAGAAAATTTTTAGTTGTTGTTTAAAAATGGAATATTCGCCACAATGAATATAATTTGGTCAACCTACGAAACTTTTGCATAGCACTTCCTCTCGGTGTTAACGTTTTAGGTCCCCCACGGACGTAACGATCGGAACGAATTCAAAAATCGTTACTTTCTATGTAGTCATTTTTTTTAAATGTACCTAGTGGTAAAATAAATGCAAAGTAATTCGAATATTGATAAACTCTAGAGCAGACATTCCCAAATATTTTTCAAAATTTCACTGTTTTGGTTGAATTTCCAGCTTTTGACACAAAACACAATCAACTTTTGGCTTTATTTACCTCTATCTTATGCCGTGTCTTCTGAGAACCCTTAGGAGTCACCAGTACTACTTTGGGAATCACCGCTATGGAACAAATCATAAAACTTTTTTTATTAAATCTGAGATTAAATAAAATCGTACCGTATGTGGGGAACTTAATTCTGAGTCACCGCTTGCCTGATTGGCTGTTTCGCACGACGCTAGTTTGTCTTTGGTTTCTTCGCGCTACTTTAGTTGTGGTTTATAATTCAAAGAGGACGGTGTGTCATGGCAGCTTAAAAATTAATTCCGGAGTTTGACAAACTTTCTAACATTTAAAAAGTTTATAAAAAATTATTTTCGTGAATAGAAAATCGGTATAAAATATACTTTTATGTTGATATTTTAATTGTCTTATTTTCTGTGGTATTTTAATTTACATTCCAATTGTGTCGTGTGAAAAGTTTGTTTTTAAGAATTGTTTTGAATTGTGTTTAGAAACTTACACACGTTGTATTGGATTTGAGAACTACTACGCCCGTTAAACCGGTTTTTGGTAAGTACACTACAAGTAATAGCAATCTACAACAGAGCCGTATAAATGTGAACTCGAAGCCATTTTTAATTTTTATTTCCAATAAGATTTATAGGTCATTGTAACAATCTATTTAATCATTATTAACTTTATTTAAATATTTACAAAAATCTAGACTTTGAAAACTAAAATTAAAACGTAAAATTAACTGTTACATCGACCTTTTTTACTAACCTGTTCATATTTTTGCTGCAAAAGCAATTATTGTGAAAGTATGCCATTGAATAGTGATAAACCTTCAAATTAATTCAAACAAATCTTTTAAATGAGGATAATAAAAGTTACATTAAAATTGTCTAGAATGAAAATTGTTTACCGACAACCTGTTAGTCAGAGTTACTGCGAATTTTAAAAACAAACTAAATGATAACTCTATTTGTCATCGATATCATATTGTGGTACTGAGATGGTTTTTCATTGTCGAAATACTTGTATAAAAACATATTGTCACCTTTTACATTCCTTTTAAAATAAAAGAGACAACAATATCTCTTAATACAACGATGTAGGCGAATTTCACAGATAAGTCGAAGTTTGTGACAACAGGAAAATCTTGCTAAAAAATAAATGCCCTCCATGGCTTCCTCTTCCGTTATATTGTTGCACACCTTGTTTTTACAAAAAACTTACGTTCGTTGTTTTCTTTATAGTTAAATCGTAGATTACGATTCATTCATAACAAACTTTTTGATTGACCGTCGCAAAAAGGTTAATTATATGAATTTTGTTCTGTAAATAAATTAAAGTAAAACGGTTTTCAAACTGGCCACATTGAAAGGACGCCATGTAAATCTCATTTTATTTTCCTGCGAGTTTTCACCTAACGAATCTTTTAGTTTTCTTTGTTGTTTTTAAAATGAAAGGGATAACTATATTTTTTACCAGTATTTCTATTTCGGTCATACGCGTTTTCTCGGAAATAACGAGTCTAGTATTTTATATTTGTTGTGCAATCACGGTATTGCCCAAGAGATACTGAGACGATGTGGACAATTATTAATTTACGTTCTACCAATTAATTTTTTCGTTATCAACGACCTACTTTAATTGACGATAGAAGGGGATATCACCAAGTTTAGCAGTGATTTAAAAAAGAAACTTATTGGCCATCCCAAAAGTCATAAAATAAAAAGCTAAAATGATATTCTATTTTCAAAAAGGGGTAGTTTGAGATTTGGGTAAATTGATTAGACGACACGATAGCCGTTGTCGAAAAACGAATTTTTGAACAAAAAACATTTCCTTATTTTATTCTTCAATTCAGGCAGTATTTTTAATACATCTTATTCTCACATAAAAAGATATAAAAGTAGCTAGTAAAGTAAAATACTAAAACGAATCACTTTAGCAGTCTCGATTTGATTTTTTTTCTATTTAACTGGACAGACAAAAACCTAAAGTCGATAGTAAAGCATGAAGGTCTTGGTTGTCAAGGATTTCGCGCGCCAACGCTAGTTGACACGTCACTGACACTGTTTTTGGCGGGAACAATGGCGGCGGAGTTAAATAGTTTCTTATGTATCTTAGAATTAAAAAGTTTAATAGGATTTTTAATGATTTCTATTACTTCTCCGCGATATAATTATTATATACGTTCAAACTGTTAAGACAAATTTAGATATGACGATAAAATTGGTAAATTCCTTACTTTTTTGACGGTATAACAAAATATCTTTATTTTACAATATCATTTATTATGTTGGTTTTTCAGACAAAAATCCCTGTACAAAACAAATTGTTATCTCTCTTGTCGATATGTTGTCGTAATTATACGGGATTTTAAACACAAATTGACCTGTAGGATTTGTATATTTCTATATTCGTCTTGTTTATTCTTGCTAAATAGCTATCTGAAAAACGATATAACAGCAATTTGAATGAGAAATTAAATTACGTGAATATAATTTGTGCTAACAAGTTTCTACGGATAATAGATCTCATTGCAATTTGATACACTGAAGAATATACTGAGGATACATTTTATAGGTTAGGAACAATACATTCAGGAAACCTAAGATAGACTGACTGTACCTATTCTCTGATACAATATCCACATCCATTTAATATCTCCCATTTATAATACTTTAAGTTATGTTAGGAAGAAAAACCGACACTGCCGGTATATCGGCGACACACTAGCCTTATTAAAATGTCAACATGTCCCCTCACTAATCGATCTGACACTTGACTTGGTAACACTTGATTCTAACTAATATTGTCTAAAAGAAGTAAGATTTATTGCATCTTTAATTAAGTAACCAATAACTTTTCAACGGCAGTGTACAAAATGAGTTTTTTTTGTTCCTAATATGACCAATTCATTACAAGACCTCTAATTGAACAATTAGCCCAAAATCCTTGGTTTGTAAATACTAAACTGAGATAAACAGTCCTCAGTTCCCTGGTGATATCATCAAGGTGTCGATGACACCGCGCCATTGTTGTGCGTTACGGTACTTGAATGTACACTTCTGCACGAAAATGTCATGTAAACAAATAAAAAATAACATAAATTTTAATGATTGTACTTTACGATTGTTCTTAAAAGATTGAAGCGAATGAATTAAACTACGCTGCTGTTTTAACTTAAAAATGTCTTAAAATTGATTTTTATACAACTCATAAGAAACAGTAAAATGGTCGGGTCGACAAACTTTTTTATACTAATCGGTGACAAATTTATAGAAATCTTAAAAAAAAATTAAAAACAAAAAGAAATCGCAACGCTACTTCTTTACACACTTAAATTGTCAACATAAAAATATTGTTAACACTTTTGTACATGACTGTACTTTATTAGTAGAGACCTTCATTTCGATTCGTTCAACACGCGGTTTTCCCCATACATCACGGCTGAGAGCGTTCTATAATTATGATATGTGAATTACGCGGGAAATTCTTTTCTCAGTATATTATTACAACAACAAAAGGTCAGTGACTTTTTTATAAATAGACAATCGGTCAACTAATTAATCTAAAACATACTAATAACAATCTAAATTTCTACCAAAAGGTTTTTCTTTACTTTAAATAGCGTTTTACAGCATTTAATTCTGATATCTACAGCATAAAAGTGTTATTCCACAGATTAAAAAAGTAATTTTTTGTAGTTTAAACAGGTACAAGGATTTTCGTGATTTTCTTTGTTGAAGTGATTTTTTGTAAAAATAGATATCTAGAGAAAGTAGGTACAGTCAGGGCCCTTTGCGGTGTTCTATTTACAGAAAAATTGCCATATTCCTTGAAACGAGAGAAACTCTGCCCCTTTTTACAAAATAACCAATTAGGTAGCAGTGTGTTGTGCAAAAGATATCGTTATTCTAAAAACAATTACCGTTTGTTCTAAGACCGAAATCTATGTATAACACATACACACAACCCCGTCTTTATCTTTAAAAAACAGAGGTAACAACATATTTCAAAGAGGGATTTTGATCTTAGAAACCCATTTTTTTTCCATCGCCGCGCTCGTCGCTAAATTTGTGTCCGTTGCCATGTTTAAATATAAAACTACGTTATATTTTAATTATTTACATAAGTTTAACAATAACAAAGGTATAAGTTATTCTCAAGTTATAAAAACACATTCCTGTATGAAGATCTTGAATGATTTAAGTCGTGGGAGAGAATTGTTATCGTATTAAACAAAAGATCGTACGGAAGTTTTATAGTTAAATATACCCGTGCGAAATAATGAAAAAAAAATGTATATAACGTTTTGCCTTAAAGGTAGTATGACTCATAAAAGGTATGAAAATTCGTTACAAATATTTTCGTCTCATGATCAATTTGTTCGTTACTATAAACAAAATATTTAATTCTATTTATCACTGCTGGAATCATTTTTACTCTCATAACTTTTTATAACCGCTTATCCGTTTTAAGAAACATATCGTTAGCTCATTTTCTTCAATGAGAATGAAAGGGATGAGAATATACTTAATACGAGAGTTTCCGAGAGTTAAATTCAACCAAATATACATCCACATTCATAAAAGTTCCAAAAGATAAAACTTAAAGGGTGTTTCTTTTTTTCAAACGGATCTGCATTGTATAAAATTGTGTCGTAATAGTATTACAAAAACGGATTAATCAGTATGATTCAGGTGATAAATCCCATCTAATTTATCCATTGTTCTAAAACAATTGAATTGTATGAAAACCACTATTAAGAGTATCGGCATTATATAAGTATTTTGTCTCTTATTCCCCATGTACATTTAAAGTTAAATTCTTTTTTCTCTTAGAACATAAGTTGTTGATTTTTTAAATATAAAATTGACCTCACGAGTTTGTCAACAGTACTGATAATTTAAATAGAACAGTCAGATCGAATATGACGTTCTTCTTTGAACACAATCGAAGAGCTTCATTGACACGAGAAACTAGAACTTGTTGTTAAAAATTACAAGGCAATTTTACATCATCAACCTGGCCTTATCCCTATGGAGGGTCGGCACTGTGTACATACAGTCCTCCATACATCTCTATCAGCCGTCATATCTGAATCTATCCTCTTTCTACACATATCCTCTTTCACACAGTCATTCCAAACTTTTTTTGGTCTTCCTCTACCTTTGTAGCCATCATTCAATCTCATTACTTTTTACTTATATAGTCGTCATCCCTTAATTACAAGTAAATTTTACATACTAAAGGGATCTAGATAAATGTTGAATAAAACTGTTCTGCGGTACTCAAGAATACTGCCAGCAATAAAAAACCCATTCACAAAGATCGAACCTTGAACTTCAAGGTGGACGGGTCTAAGCGGCCATTATTACGTCGCATTGTGCCCACAACGTAATTATGTATAAAAAAAAAACCTTTAATGGTTGACAATGACAATATTCTAAACGCAATGGAATTTAGAGGTAACTTTTTTAAAAGCAATAGAATAGCAAATTTACAAAATTTTTCTTATATTATAAATGCGAATATATGGATGGATTGATGGATGG